ATATAACTAGTCAACAAAGTAGGAAAGCAGAAAGCAAACATTCCTGATATGTCTGTCAATTTTCATTCATTCACATTAATCTGGTGCGATTCACTCGCTTCCCCTATGTGCTCACCCAGAGGTTGAGGCCTGTATGGAGAGTTCAGTGTTAGATTGCTTTGAATTGTAAACTGGAGCTAAGCTAGTCCGATGCTAAGCGACAGTGCAAGAGCCTCTCGATAGTTCATGGATCGTTGCTTTTTCCCGAAATTCTGGCAATTTTTTCCAGATGCTTTGTATGTTGTCTGAGCGCCACTCCAGGCACCCTTTTTGTGCCGAAATAGCTCAGTTGGGAGAGCGTTAGACTGAAGATCTGAATGTCCCTGGTTCAATCCCGGGTTTCGCCAGGTTGAAGTTGTGTTCTGGGGACATGTTGCCTTGTTAAATGTTCCTTTGTTGGCATATGGTCGAGTGCTGTATGGAGTCTTCAGTCTTGTCCCTGAAGTTCAGAACACACTAGTCAACAAAGTAGGAAAGCAGAAAGCAAACATTCCTGAAATGTCTGTCAATTTTCATTCATTCACAGCAATTTGATGCGATTCACTCGCAATCTTGAGGTACCAGATTCACTTCTACAAACAACAATTAATTAAACAATAAAACAATTAAAACACGTATGTTTTTTACTGTATTGATGTACATTTTAACTTGACATGTGCTTGTTTTCTTCTGAAACTACATTCCTAAATGCGGTTTATTTAGTCAGATGCTAAAGACTCAGCAGTCAATGCTAAAGCTGTGGAGTTTGAATGTTTTCCACATCTGCAACAGATGTTTTGATGTTCGGCTGCTCCTTTTTTCTAATTTTAGAAATTCATTTTCTTTTTTTTCTCGTCAGATGGACAGAGGGCTGCACTGATGCTCTACTCACTGTATAGCAGAGCTCTGAACTGCAATACACAACAGCCTAAAACACTCGTAAACATTTTAAAAAAGACAACAGCATTTCAAACAGTATATCTCATCGAAATCTGGATTAGATGATGTCAATTTCAGAGTTTAGGTCAAGAAGTGCTCGCTTTTTGGCTCATTTTGTATTCTCGATATTTATATAAGTTCTGCAAGTATAACTGTGTTCTTTTGGATGTTTACTGTAGAACACAGGCTTCTGTTGAGTTCAAATCTTTCTCTCACTTGTACTGCCTTTCTGTTTGCTTCTTTCAGGTCGGAGTCATAACTGTGCAGTGCCTGTTGTTGATCTTCTACACCAGCAGTGTGTTCCTCTTCATCGGTACCTGCGTTTTGGGACTGTGCATTAGCAGCGTGTTCCCGTCCATGCTGGCCTTTACAGAGGACATGCTAGACTACAAAGGTAAACCAAGACACACATTCTAATTATTACATCGGTAGGTAGTACTAACCTCACTGTACAGCACAATTGGTCACAGGATCAATTCCGCTCTGTTACTTTTGCGTTGCTGGTGGTGTGCACACAACAGGATGTTTGGCAGACTGGTATTGTTACACCTGCTCCCGATGTCATATAGCTAGCAAGGCCAATAGAGCAGAATAAATGCTGGGTGGCAGTAAAAGAGGTTTAACCAGCAACTGGTGCAGAAGTAGTCGAGCTGACTTAACTAACTTTCTACACCACAGCTGAGAGCATCAGAGCAGCCAAGACATACAGTAGGTAAAGCTTCCCTCTGCTTCCATCCCAAAGTCAACTCTGGGTCTTCTCAACTGTTGACTCGTATCATCAACTTTTTGGGGGCAGTCCTAGTATTTACTGATTTATATATTGATAAAATAGTCATTTTTAGTCCTCCTTTACTGTAGATAATGTCTGTCTATTTCTTGTGTGTTTCAGGTTGTGCTACAACTGTCCTGGTGACCAGTGCCAGCACAGGAGAGATGGTGCTGCAGCTGCTTGTTGGATCAGTAAGAACCTTTTCTGTGTTCTGTAGTGGCTACACTGCTTTTTAGCACGTTGATTACAGAGTCATTTGAAATAAAATCCCACTGTGTTTGTGTGTGTGTCTTCCTGCAGGTGATCCACAGTCAGGGCAGTTACACTTTCCTGTTGTGTTGTACAATATCATCATTCATCGGCTTCTGCCTGTTCCTGCTGCTCCTCTATGTCCAGCACTGCCACAGACACTGCAGCACGGGTAAACACACATCAGGCAGAAAATTGACAAGCTGGTAATCTCAAATCATATGTCAAATCATACTTATTTTAACAGGAGAGGAGCTGATTCATAGTCACATTTTATTGGGGGGAACCGTCAAAATGGAGCGAAAAGACGGAAAAATAATTACCAACCACTAAACGCCATTTTTACCAGCTCAAACTAAATAAATAGTCAAAAATTGTGTGGTCCACCCCATGTAGAACTGACCATGATAACCTGTAATGCAGTAGCAACTGTGCGACCAACTTCAGCTCACTAAATTACACTAGCAGCTAATATTAGCAGCTAACATTTTCAGCTGACATTAACAGCTATCATTTGCAGCTATCATTTGCAGCTATCATTTGCAGCTAACATTAGCAGCTAACATTTGCAGCTAACATTTGCAGCTAACATTTGCAGCTATCATTTGCAGCTAACATTTGCAGCTAACATTTGCAGCTAACATTAGCAGCTATCATTTGCAGCTAACATTAGCAGCTAACATTTGCAGCTAACATTTGCAGCTATCATTAACAGCTAACATTTGCAGCTAACATTAGCAGCTAACATTTGCAGCTAACATTTGCAGCTAACGGTCCCTATGAAAAAACTAATTCGCTAATTAGCAGCTAATTTAGCGGCCCAACATTACACATAATACACTTTGGCTCTGGAAATTGTATTAGCAACTGCTAGGGCACAAGTTGACATTAAACTGTCAGATATGTCGAAATGTGGGCACATAACGCAACATTCTTGAGCACTTAACTAGGCGAATGTGGCTAAGTGCAGGGCAGTCTTTCAATCAGAGGGTCGGCGTTTCAATCCCCGGCTCCGCTAGTCGCATGTCGATGTGTCCTTCAGCAAGACACTTAACCCCAAAATTGCTCCCGTAGTTGTGCATACGGTGTAGAAATGTGATAGACTCTGAATTGTAAGTCGCTTTGGATAAAAGTGTCTGCTAAATGACTGTAATGTAACTAGCGGTTAGCTTACAAAGTCAGCAATCTGTGGCATTAACATTTCACTTACTAGGCAATGGCACCATGCATTTTAGGCATATAAAATATAATTAAAGCTTTCAAATATTGACTTTTAACTTACCTTTTGATTGCATCCTTCTTCCATAGGTCTTTCTTCCATTTCTTCCATTAGGAAAATGGCACGATGGTGCTGCGCATGCGCAGAGCAAGCTCGAGAGTCTAGTGTAATTTTGCTCAAATTAAATTAAACAACAGATTTATAAGTGGGTGTACAGAATGTGCAGCTGTGACGAATTCCCCAGTAAATTGTCACACCTTTATTTTTTTTTCAACAAAAAAGAACATATATATATACATATAGTCGAGGCTTTCCAACTCATTCGTCTGTAAATGCACAGGGGCCGTCCTCCGTTTAATGGGGAGATGGAAGGCACCACAAAGGAGCTAAATCACATACAGGTGGTTCTTTTCTTCAAAAATATTACTTTCATTCAGCATTTCCTTGTGTGATTAAACAAAAAATAGTTAAATAAAATAAAGGCTTTTACATGTGCCATGATACAGCTACTTACAGTTAAAAGTGTTCAGTTCTGTAGGCACATTTTAATTGTATTTGAACAATTTGAGCACACTTTATCGTTGGTTCTTCCACAGTTAACCAAACTGTAACCAGTGTGGATGACAAATGCGTGTGCCTCATTTGAGATGCAAGTGAGAAAATCTGTAGAAAAATCTACAGACACTTTTTATGTGACTTTCCGGCTGGTAGCAGTCTTTCGAACACGAGACGGTAAAGGAGTAGAAAGCAATACTTTAAGGATAACCATCTCTGCTTAGCAAACAAAGAGAAGGCCAACGCGACAACGCAGGCTTCTTTTAGTGGCGTGCATCCTAATGAAACACAAGTCCTTCGCCTATGGCGGGATCGTAATAGAGGTGATGACTGCTTTGGCTGTAACGTTATTAAAGGGCCATAACAGTAAAACAATAATATATGCTATTGGTGATGTACAACTTGATGCTACGAGGAGCTTTCAGCCACTTTCATTTTGTCAAATTAGCTCTCAGAGGAAAAACCAACCACATTTTGCTACATAATCAATATGAATACAATGTACAGCATCAAGAGTCAATATGGCTTCAAGGTAAAGGTCACGATGCAAAGGTGCATTGCTTTAGAAGATCAGGATGTTAATGTTTTTGTGTAAATGGCAGCATTCATCAAAAGCCCGCCGGGTGTCAGTCCTCTTGTATCGATCTCTGTGCTGAGTCAAACTAATCGACACCGTTTCATTCTCAGATTCGTCTCAAAACACAGACATGAAAGAGAAGCCTGAGACGGGAGGATCTTGATGCGAGGGGGTCCCTGAGAGACTGAGGGGGGAGACCAGAGCACACAAATGGCCAAGCGGTTCTGCTGTGGACGACGGAAAGGGAGCATGGGAAGAACCATCTCTGGACGTTTCCACGTCTTAGCCCAGCCTCGGAACAGGAGCTCCATCCTGGCCTCCTCCAGATTACAGGTTACATTTTGTAACCTAAAGAAATCTACTTTCAAGCCTGACGATCAATGAGCAGCTCGATGGACGGTCCAGTTCTTGACATAACCCTTGTGCCCGACACCACATTTGATATTTTTGGCTACATTGTATAATAAGGTATATGGCATGATTTGGCACGGGTGAATTGCGAATTCTGGAAGTTCGTCCTGGGCTCCTATAATTAGTTTATAATAAAGTGTTGCCTAAATACAGACACTTGAGGACAAATTTGTCCTCTTAGGAACCCATTAAAATCATAACGTTTGATCCCACAGCCATTGGAGCATAACATCATGCAATCTATTTGATCAAGCCTTCAATCTAGAGCTCTGGCTTTTAGTATTTTCCACCAGATTGACCATTTTTGTACCTGTGGGGAAATACATGCTATTTTCTTGGTTTCCTGCACACACATCGAAATCAGAGTGTTGTTACTAATCATTGACATGGAATTCAAATGGTTAAAATTCTGAAAATCAATTATTATTGGGTGGTGATGATCAGGACTGATGTTGGTTAAACAATTTAACTCAGTGAAAGTGCAAAACAATATTAATATAGAACATTTTTATGGCACTTTTTGACACAGACGTGTTTCTTGTGGTCCTTTAAGGCAGTGATTCTTAACCATGGGGCCGCGGCCCACGATTGGGTCGCGAGCGCCACGTAGAGGGCCGCAAACAACTTTCAGTTTTGCACCTGTGGGCCGCGAGGGCCGCGGGACCGCATAGGTTATCAATTGAAGACATATTACTGTTATCCATGAGACGCTCAGGTACAATATAGCTTCCCACCACCTGGTGGCGGTAATGCGTCAGTCAGTTGTTTAACAAGCTCCAATAAGCAGAAGAAGACACTCAGCTAGCCGCTAGCCCAGGGGTCGGCAACCTGCGGCTCTTCAGCCCCTCTGTTGCGGCTCCTTGAGTCTACATCAGGGGTCCCCAACAGGCGGACCGGACCCGGACCCAGGCCCTAAATCCGATAGATAATTCGGAATTATACTTATTAGGCACTGAGTTTATACTTTAACCGGCGCGTTTTATCCAGCCGTTACGGCGGTGCAGGAAACACACCGACCAATGCGTTGCAAATGACATCAGGTGATGCAGGTATTCTGACAAGTTCCCTGACTCGAGCGAGGTTTACACACACCGTGACACACGGGGGAGAGACGAGGAAATAGAAAGAAGAGCAGGGACAATGCGCTGATCGAAGAAGATGTCTCGCATGACGTTCTCCAAAAAGAGAAACGTGTTCAGAGAGAATATAATTTATAAGCAAGAATGAACAGACTCTTATATGTTAATTATTCCCACAGGCAGTTAAATCCTCTACCCCTGTCAAGCGCTTTCCCCTGCAGGTGGCTAATCATGATTTTCAGACCCTCGCCCTCTGTAAACTATCAATGGATAAATCCAAAACAGAAAAGTCACGGAGGAAAACAGAGTTTAACTCTGCGTGGATGTCTTCATTTGCTTTCACTGCCAACGATGCTGGCTTACTGTATGCTTCCAGAACAAACACAGCATGTGCTGAAAAGTGTCACGCTGGAGATGATTCCTCAGCTGCTGCAGCAAACTCTCCTCTTCATAAGAGGTTGATATTGTTATATCAGGTAAAATTGCAATAAAATGTCAAGAATTGTCTTTATTCTTGTTCTATATTTTCATAAATACAAGAAACTATAGTTTTTGTATATATAATATAACTATATATAACACTTTATAAGCTGTGATATCAAATAGCTTTTGCGGCTCCAGACACATTTTATTTGGTTTTATTTGAAGCCTTCAAAAATAAAGCGACACTTAGCGACGAAACATCCAACGCTCGTGGGAAAGCCTGTTGGGCTTCTTGTTGTGTATGCAGGGTTACATACACATGATAAATAAATGTCTTTGTGATCATCACATTGTATCATCTCATTTATTTGACAAGGGTTTTGCTTGTTAAACTGTAAGTGGATTTAATATAGTTATTGAATACAAATCAAACCAAGAGTGAGATCAATTAGTTAAACTAATACAGTGTTAATATTTGAATGGGCCCTGGGACACTTTGTACTTGAAAAGTTGGGCCCCGAGGTCAAAAAGGTTAAGAACCCTTGCTCTAAGGCAGAGGTCTTCAACAGGGGGTCCGAGGAGGTACTGCAGGGGGTCCGCGAAATTTTTGGTTGATTAGACAATTATTTTATTTTTTTCCCAAAAATGAATGTGTCCATTATTTTAATAGTTCAGTATTGTATGCAAGATAACAGGTATCTTTATGCATGGCAGTGGCACTAATAGGCTATCACAAATTCTTCGTTTCCACATTTATGTTTAAAATGAAAACAGTTTGAATAGCTTGTATGCATGATTACCATGCAATTGACAGACAATGTTGATATCAGCTGACAAGGTATGTTTATAAATGGCAGTGGCACGGCCTCCCTACTCACTGTACCTTGCACATGTTGAAAATAAAAACATGAATATATGGACCTGTGTATTATTTGAATAGCTTAGTGTTGAATGTACAATAAAGAGGTATACACAGTACTAGGCCCATTTTCTTTGTCACGATCATCTCTTGCAGCACCTCTTCTCTGCTGCAGCATGATTCAAAAGACACTTCAACGATCAAGTATTGCCTTTTCCAGTATGAATGCGAGTGATGTCGTCTGCTCTGTTTATGGCGAAACATCTGCAGCACATTCGGTTGCTGCTGTTGAAATGGGACTCACATCAGCCCTGTGTTAGTGCTGCTGTTGTAATTTCCTGCTGGCAGACATTAATAACAAATGATGCAATGGCAGAATACAGAAACGCAAGTAGTGAAGAGATCTTTTATTGGTCTCGCCTATCTCTCCCACTATAAACAATTTCTCTACACCTCTCAAACATCAATATGCCACTTAAGACAAGTAGCTTGTAAACATCTGAAAAAGCATCAAACAAATAGAAAACGGGACAGAACAAAGCAAAAAAACTTTCTTTTTCAAAGGAGATTTTTACATTTCAGGGTAGGTTGAGGGGAAAACATCATCAGAAGGTACAAATTAAGAAATATGCTAAAACAAGACTGACTGGAGGGAGGTTTCAAATGGGCTTTGGGGTTGTAATTAGCTATTATTATTAGCCATTTGGTTCTTTATCAAAGTTACTGCAAAAATGCAATATAGGCTGCCAACTCTACTGGGCTGTACTATAAATTCTAAAAAATAAATATTTTGTGGTTGTGCCTAATCACAGATCCTTGTAAATTGTTTGCTATATATTGTAAAAGGTCAGATTTACTGTATAAAATACAAAGTGCATTATTTTATCGTCCCTTTGGGAAAATATACGTGTCATTAAGCAAACGCTTTTCATCAAAGAGGAGATCAGAGTCGTAGAAAAGCGACAGAATCCAATATTACAGGAACCCCCTCAAGTCTTAAGTGCAAACGTTCCATCACGACATTTGCGTGTACAATATCGACACTATCAAAACACTTTACATATAAAACAGATTCAGATTTCTCCCCATAAGGCTTTCATTCCCAAAATGTAGCCAATGCCACCACAGGGCTGCCGCCTCCCAAATACACCAGAGGAAAAGGACACGAGGAAACACACACGCAGAAAGAGAAGCCCAACATAGCAGACGTCTATCTGGCCCTTACAAAAATAGAAATCAATCTTATAGTTCTATCGGTGTCACAGGAAAATCAAAGATTACACAAAAAATAACAGGTTTTATATCTATATTTATATATATATATATACTTTGAGTAAATCTGCAATCGCAAAACACTTACAAGCAGTTTGGAAAGAGACATGGCTGCCAACTCTAAAAACATGGCCCGATTAGATTTACACGCTCTGCATATTAAGCCATGTTGCAGTCTGTATGTACAGTTATGCATCCCGAAAAGGTTCCTTCGATATGATACACTGCGGGTGAGCCGCAAATAAATAGCCCCAAGCTTTCCAGGGCTCTCGTTTGGTCAAAGATACGGCATAAAGACAAACAGGAAACACTCGTGTGCACTGGGTAAATGATACAACTCGCATTCGGGAGCTGGACTTGGGCTCGGCTGTGGTAAGGCACCGTTTATCTATGTGACGGGGGGTGGCGGGTCTGTTAGTTGAGCGCGAGACCTACAAGACTCGCCGGTCAGCCGTCCCTGGGTTAGAAAGGGACACTTGGGTAAAGAAACACTTTCCAAGCATCATGTAAACAAGTGCGATTTTCCACATGTAATAGTATAGAAATGTGGTATCTAGGTCTCGAGTCTGTGTCTCAGACTTATGGCTTCAAAAGTAAGTTACAAAAACAGGTGTGAACCTTTCATGGCTGATCATCTGGAGGGGCTTTAGGGAAGCTGCTCCGATGCTCCAGGAGGTGTTGTTGTACAGTCCTCTGGAGTAAAGGTGGACATGTCTCCAATGGCTAAGGCTTGGCAAAGGTTAAGGCTAGACTGTCGAGAGTTTAGCCACATAGATCTGGAGGTTCCGTCTGAGATTTCAAATACTGACGCTGCAAGCAACATTTATCAGAGCCCATTCATTTAGAACAAAGAATTCAGAGCTGAGCTGTGGACGATCAAGGTTTCAAGGTCGACATTTTAAGAAATATTGCTAAAAGTTAGATAAGACTGATATCCTTCTCACGGTATCATGATCATCATGGGGATGGTATGGTAAATACGAAGCGGGCGTCAGCAGCCGGTTAGCTTAACTTCACAAGGGGGGGAAACAGCTAGCCAGGCTCCACCTTAAAACACCTCTTAAACTTACGTGTTAAATCACGTAAATGTGTTTTACGGGTGTGCTGGAACTACGTTTTGGCCAAGAGCAGTTGCCAGGCAACCAGCGGATAACCTCCAGGAAGTCACTGCTCACCAGCCAAGTAGTATTCTAGCACAGCTGCCTCCAACAATGTGGAGCTGCTTTAAAAGAAGGCAACATCAGAGAAGTGACAAACACAGAATCTGTGAGCCGTTGCTTGCAGAGTCGATGGCTTCACTTTCTGTTCTCACCTGAACGCTGACTGGCTGGAGGGGCTATTCTACTGTGTGTGTGTATATACATACACATATATATATATATATATATATACACATACACACACACACACACACACACACACACACACACACACACACACACGCACACACACACACACGGGAACAGTTACATAGAGGCATGGTTAAAGGTTTAAGATCAGATTATGGCCACATGTCACAATAAGAAAGTCCTGTTGGATACAGCTGTAGCTAGCCAAGACTTCACACTGAGGCAGGTGAGTCGAGGTCGAGTGCTGGGTAAAAGACAACAGAGTTTGCAGGTAAACGTGCACATCAGGTTAAAGCACTACCCTTCAACAAGAGTAAAAGTTAAGGACGGCGCAGAAAAAAGGAACAGAAGCATCGTCAGCATCTTCTTTTGGCAGTAACACTGTTGCCCAAGACGAGGAGGAAACTCTGTAAAAGGAAAGATTCAGATATGTGGTCTGCGTGTCCATGCGTGAAGCAGATTGTCGCTGCCGAGGGTCCGATCCACATGCGCCAACTGTCGCCATGGAGATTCCTCCCTCCTTTCGAACTGTTGGGACTTGAGGATCCCAAGATGTCAAACAAAATGAATCCATATGTGCATGAGGGGCGATGGAGTTAATGTGTGCGAGTGCAGGATAGCGTACGTCTGGGTGTGAAGGTTCTAAAAACAAACCGAATGTGTCAAACCCGGACCGCCGACGTCTCTCCAGACCCTCCCTCTGCACGTCTGACTGTAGTGTGAACTTTAAAGCACCAGAGCGATGACGAATGGCAATGACTCAGCTCCCACGTCTTTGTCCTTGACGTGGGGCAGCAGAAGATGGGGATGGTGTCTGGCTGCCATGCGGTGACATTGTTCATCCTATGTCCTCTGAGGGTCTGGGGTGATGGGGCCGGGCGTGTTGGTCCCATCCAAGCTGTGTACGGGGATCTGGAACTGAGGGGTGAGGACCGACGGAAACTGGAACAGAGCAGTGTGTGTTAGGACGAGTTGGACGAATAGAGAGAACTGAAAAGAGACTCTAGTCTACTCACTTGGAACAGGTGGGCTCCCTGGCGTCGCGTGGCAGGGCTGAGGGGAGCGACTGGACTGAGCGTGCTCCAGAAGTGGATGTTGGACAGCAGAGGGCTGGGAGTCAGCAGCAGAGTGGGAGTCTGAGGGGGGAGACAAACAAGACAGATTCAGTGCTGACAGCATGGCCGATATTGGCGGCTTTGAGATGCAGGTTTGTTCATAAGAGGACAGACTGAGCAGTTTGTTCTTGATCACAGTTCTTTAACAACCAATTTTGAGGGATCCTTAAAAAAAAGTTTGTTTACATGTGTTTATGTTAAAAAATGAGGATTGGACCACTATTAGCCATGTTCCAGACCTCTGAATCAGCAACTCAAATAGGCATGGTGGTGATGCTCTTTCCACCGGTTGACCGATCAAAAGTTTAGTGGGCGGGATTAGGCATCGGGACAACGTCTTCCCACAAAGCTACCGGGCCACATCCATGAAAAAAACCCAACTTACCATGTGCTCATGAGATTAATGTGAATATAAACAAGTTAAGGACCTGTTAATTAGAAACTCTGGTGAGCTAGATTGAAGATACTGGACACAAGCCTAAAGCCAATCAGAGACAGAGCAGAGAGAGGAACTCCGTCATATGCGAGCTGACTGGCAGTCTGACGCTAGATGTTGTGATCAAACCTGACCTGACCTGCTGAATAAACACTGCATTGTCTGAACCAGCTAATCTAATTAGACTTTAAATTGTAGTAGCAGCAGGAGCACACACACACAGTCATGTGTTGAGCAAATGGCATCACCAGGAACAAGTAAACACCACACAAACAAAACCCAACAGCCAGGCATCACAGAGTGCTGCTGCACTGCTGCCACCTGCTGGTCAGGATCAGTAGCTGCTGGACGTTCTCTGCAATGCCAATTCTGGGTTCTGTCCAGTTAGACAAATAACTGCACAGCAGACACCTGGTACTTGTCATATGCAGCCTATTTCCTATTCATATTATTTACTACGTCTATACAAACGTTAAAGAAAGGATCTAAACTGCTTCAACAGGCAGAACTATGCTCCGTACAACTTCTATGATCTAAGATCTAAACCACAAATCTGTCTTCGGTAAATGGATATTTGAATCATAATGAAACAACAAGCCTACTGGGACATGTCTTGATGGATGGTTAATGCAGAGCGCAAGAATACACTTCATTGTAAATGCAGTAAAGATTTGATTTTAACTCATGCAGTACTGTAGCACTCTAATCTATGGCGCACTATCAAAGTGGGCCATAGATGTACGCCACTCCCGAAGGAGGGCGGGTCCACGCTCTCACCTGCAGCATTGCTGGTGTGAGAGAGGCCGTCGGTAGAGACGGGCTGCAGAGGTTCATGGGGGAGAAGTCGGAGGCGGTGACCAGCAGAGTCGGCGGGCTGATCTGCAGTATCTTCGGCGGCTTGCGTGACTTCATCGAGTTCAGAGTGCTGAGCGTGGTGCTGCTGCTCAGCGACGACGAACTGGTTTCAGCGTCCACGAAACTGGTCTCGTCTCCGGACAAACCAAGGCCACTGTCCACCTGGTGGACAACAGACGGGTAACAGTTTCTACTGGCGGCTCATGAATTCACTTTTGCTTTAACACTTGGTCCTACCATAATATCTGGGTCAATAGAAGAGGTATTCGTGTGCGTAGACACAGTTTAACGGTATCAGAAGAAACTGTAATCTGGAGGATTCTAATTTCATCTGGAACATTGTGTGTACAAAATAATTGCACACTGGCAGTGCTGTGGTCCAATGTAAAAAAATATACCAACACAGTTGTCACAACAGAAGTGAAGTGGAACAACAGACTGGTTTGGTTCTCTCTTGTACTCCAACAGCGTTGTTTCAAAGAGAAAAAAACACTTTGTTTCCCTCAGGAGTTAGTGGAAACCCACCAGAGCTAAAAGGAAAACTGATATTAGACTAAGAAACACGACTGTGTCTGCTGACCTGTTCACTACAACAACTAATTGATAGTACGTCCACGTTTAGTTTACAGCTCATTTCCAAGTGGACAAAAATCAGTTATTGCAGGTTAAAAGTTGAAAAAAGAATCATCAAATCAACATCTTAACTGACTTAGTTATTATTTATTAAGTGTGCATCACTCAAAAACTGAGCCATTCTACTTCATCACGTCTGTGTCGGTGTGTTTTGATCAGATTTGTGGTCTGATGTAAGTAAACGACCAGATTACCATTGAATTGAATCCGATTGGTGCACAGGAATATGTGACATCATGAGTGGGATTCATTCAAAAACATAGAGTGAAATAAATAACCCAAACTATTCTAACTTTGGGTTAATTTAGGTCCCTGAAGATTACAGAAGCTGATAGAGAACATGTGTTTTCAGGGCCTTTAGAATGTCATTGTCCTATTATTAAAGTAGCATTGTGTGAGATGCGTTTGTATGTATACTAGCCTTCTCACGCGCCTGAGCGTCTGAGCGGTCTGGTGCCTGAACATCCGCGGGTTGAGAAGATCCTGACTCCATGTCGCTGTCGATCACCAGCTCCTGGGACGAGTCGGGCACGAGGCTCGGGGACGGGCTGTCCGAGATCAGGTCCGGCAGGCTGAACGTCGGCTCTGCTGGGCGGATGTGCTCAAACAAGTAGAACGACTGGGACGGCGGGGAGGAGTGTGCGCGGAAGTCCCCGGCCCTCTGGTGGGGGGCTCGCAGGGAATCCAAGTGGTGGGACATCAGGGTCGGCTCCATGGCAACCCGAGTGAACTGTGCTGGTGCTGGATTCGGAGGGGCGTTTCCAAACTTGATGACGGACGGCAGAGCGGCCGGCTGCTGCGGCTGAGGCGACTGTTCCCGGCTCTGGACCGCGGCGGCGAGACCTCTCTTGTCGGCCAGCTTCTCTGCCGGGTTCTCTATTTTGATGGACTTGAAGAGCTGGCGTCCATTTTGCAGCGAGTTGAGGGTGAAGGAGGTGTACAGGCCGGAGTGGATGTAGTCGTTGCGGTTCGACTGCTTGTTGCTGGAGCCCAGTGCTGCTGTGCTACTGTGGTCACCTGACTCCCCCTCCTGCGGGCTGCTGTCGGCCCTCTTCAACAGGTGAGGGGAGCCCCCAGCGCCCACATCCCCGCCCTCTGCTCGGGTAGAGCCCTCTCCTTTGAGGATGTCAGGATAGGACACAAAGCGATAGACAAACTTCTGACCGTTCACCTTCTTTATGATGTTCTGCAACACACAGAAAAGCAGATATGGTAGTTTATACTCTTGGTAAATAAAAAAAATAAATAAATAAATAAATTTAAAAAAATACATTTATTTTTATTCAGCCAGAAAACACAGTGCGAGCATAAACAAGACATTCCCTCACGCAGTACGCCTCTACTACAGAGTCACTAGGGGTAAAAAATAGAAGAGAGACCACATAAAAAAAGGCCTTGTACGTGGGACAGCTCTGTCCTCCCTGTCTGCACCCAACCAGCAGCCGCTCACGCTGCAGCCAAACATACCAGCGCGGCCGTGCCCACAACGCCCACGAGGTCAGGCTGTGCTGCTGCCAAACCACAAGCAGATTGGGAGACGGACAGCACTCTCCCTCTCGTCCGCATGTCGCTGAGCAGCGACTTGAACCGTTCTGCGACGCATTAACTTGTGCTTTGAAAATAGCAAAGGAAGCGATCCACTCCAGAGTCTCACGATGCTGCTTATGTAACTTAGACGTTGTGTAATTGGTTGAATTATGACTGACAATTTAAAAAATATGATTGCATTATGCGCATGACAAACCATCTGATCACTGCATTCATTATCTTTTAGAAAGGGAGTGGGGCACAATATCAGCCGTCTTTACCGAGACACTCAGACCGATATACTGCAGCACACACTCAGTGATAGTAAAGCCCAGGACCCCGCACGCTAGCAGCTACAGCTAGCATGACAGAGGAGAGGGTGAACCAGGGTCAGAGGGCTGTTTACTGGTAAAGGCCTGCACCTCTTCCCAACAGTGGAGTCAACGGGATGTAGGTAACAACTAAGAGGTCAGTCAGTGTGTATTGAATTGTTTGAGACATTGTTATTAATAAGAGGAGCAGCTATGTTGTTATAAGTTAGTGTTGAAGCTGCTAGTCCCACTACCACTCCAGCCAACACACCCTAACAATAAAAGCTTCTTTACTGTCGGGAGATGACCGACGCTCTCAACTCCAAATATACCTTTATAATATTATAATAATAATAATAATAATAATAATAATATACTCCTCCCTGTAGGAATGTTCTCACATTTACATGTGTTGTTGACATTAAAATAGTATAGTCAACAATAGTGAGTTATTTAAACATTTCTTCTTAGCAGTTTAAGAAAGACTATTTGTTTACTTACGATTAATAAAACAATGTTGATTCTTTTTCAAATATACTTTTTTTCCCCTCACAAAATAATCAAAAAGAACCGATAAGAGTATCGATAATATTACTAGTATTGATAAAATCCTAACACTGATATGTAGTCGTCTACTTTGGGTAATAAAGAGAAACATTTGGTGAGTTGTGTCTGACAACTAAATGTGAAGATATCAGGTATCAGCCACACTTGTGGTCGTCAGTGTGCACTGTAGCTGCTGAGCTAACATTAGCAAACAGGCCGCATGCTCGGTCCTGAATGATCCCGACTAAGCTCTTGATGTGATCTTCTTAAGAGCAGAACTGAGGGATTGGGACCTTTATTTACTATCTGCTAACAGCTGTTGGTCAGTGTTGGACTGCTGTCTGACTACAATGTACCAGCTTGTGTATTACAAGTAATACAACCATGTCACAATACAACCAACTGAGTGAGGTCTTCCCTCTCTCCAACTCTCTTTGGCTCAGTATAAAGATGCCTGTTTGCAATCACATTTGTAGTTTGGCTAACTCATCGAGTAAATGCAGATGAAAAAATGTAATAATGAGAACCGTGCTGGTTTGATTTTGCCCTTCATTTGAAGAGGCCATTAATGCCGTGGTGCGCTCTGGCTCCAGCCCTGCAAACATAGAGGTCTAAATCAGGATTCACCATCTTTAATTCTTTACTCTTTGCCTGTTTCAGTTATTTAAGGGTGGAATGCACTGTACCGGTAAATGTGTTGCTGTGGTGCCATACTTACTGAGATTATAAAAAAACACTGCTACTCTTGCTTGTGCACCCCCACTAATTTGGAAAACACCCTCTAATTTCACTCTGGAACCAGGCGTGATGACAATCCTGCAGTCAGCAGCACTACAAAACATCTGTGAAGACGCTCCTCAGCAAACACACACACAAACACCATTTCAGTTTGACTGGATGAAAACGTTTCATTGCTGTCGCGATATCAAGAAATGCCCTACAGTCAAAAAGGTAAACATACTGGATTAGCTTAAGAGTTCACACTACCAGCGGCAAAAGCAACAAACCCAACCGTGGCCGGCTAGATAGTCGGCGAGTCGGCGTTTAAAGAATTGTTTGAGCGCTTGTTCACGTAGCAATGTCGTTAAATAGCACCGGGGTCCTGTAACGGGGGGGTTTTCTGACATTGTTCTGACCAAAGAGACCAACATCAAACAAAAACAACAGAAAAGGCTGCGATTGGTCTGACGTCTGACAAAGCTGGAGAACACATGCGAACGGTTTGTGTCAGAGTGAGGCGAGATTATTAGCTCGTTAGTTAGGTTGTGTGTCCAATCAGGACTCCTGTGGGAATGACAAGGCTGGGAAATGTAGGAAAACCACAATGTGTGGAGCACAGACAACAGCTGGCTAATGGTTGAACCGATATTGGACCAATGGTGATAGCATAGTCATTGTGTGGTGTATAACCAAAAGAATGAACTTTCGATCACCCAGAACCCACTTGCTGTGCATCGGACAGGGGGAGAGGGTTTGACGTGTTTACCTTGTCGTAGTAGTATCTGAGGGCCCTGCTCAGTTTGTCATAGTTCATGTTGGGCTTGTTCTTGCGGGCTCCCCACAGCCGGGCCACCTCCTCTGCCTGCAGTAGTTTGAACTCGCCTTCCTCATTGGTCCAGCAGATCAGCTGGTCATTACTGGAATCCAATAGGAGCTGGAGAAGGAACTGCCACAGGGTGACAGAGTTGTCCATGTCTCTCACTGGGGAAAAATACAAAACAAAAAAAAGTTAGAGGAGAAAAATCATCACTCATGGAAACACGGCACAAAAGTGGTACATTTTCACAAGTCCCATCGCTCCTCAATGGAAAGACTTGATCGTAGTCATCCTCACCTGTATCTTTAAAAAGCCGAAGAAACCCCTCAAACCTCAAAGGCCGTTGGATACCTGAACGTACGGGCAGAAATGTGGCGGAATTGCTGTAAATGGATATTCAACAGCCAAGGAACAAGAGGCTGTTTTACAAGCCCAGGTGCACCGTCTGGTACAAACGCGGTTTCCCCCCCATGTGGTGCCCACTTTCCAGGATGATAATGCCACCATCCACCCTTCTGAACAAAAAGAGCGGTTTCATTAACAGCTGGATGAAGTCAAACAAAATTTAGGGGCGTAAATGTATCCCTTGAAGAGCTGGATTGGATATTAAAGGCTGGCGGCCCCCCTACAGTCCAGGTTTTTTAGCTTTCCGGGGACTGAGGCTGTTCAGATGGTAACGAGTGGTTCTATTCTCATTAGGTCGATGGTATGAAATACGGTCACATCACTCACGATAAGCCAGAAAAAAAAGGAAATGACAGCTAATCATTAATCCTTTTCTTCTTAGGACACCCATAGTGTGTGGCACTGTGATGTGGCTTCTGACTCGGCCTAGCGGAGGCCATACATCTTGCTCACATCTGGCTTCTAAAGAGCAGCAAAACACCATCATGGCCATGAAAGTGAAATGCTCCTCACAGTGAGAGGCAAAGAATGACGTTCATGGAGAAGTTAATTCAAACCACAGCGGCCGAGGTAAAGCTGCTGCGAGGATTGGAAGCCTTGCATGAGGAGAAAGTGGGAATAAAATCACTATTTTTCAATGTTATCATTACAAAAGCACCGAATCATTTCACAGAGAATATAATGATAATGATATTGACTATGTTCAACTACAGAAGGCATTCTACATTAAATGAGCTGGCTAAATACTGCAGACCTGTCAATACTCCACAATTACCGTGTAATTGCTACTGTACAAACTTCAAACAAATACATGTGATTATAACCTACGTACTATATTATGCAGCCTTACAATGAACAACAACAATTAGATTACTCTGACAGCTGACCAGCTTTTATTGGGACTGCTGTAAAAGTTAGCGGTAAACTGTAGGTCGCACACGGCCCAATGAAAAAAGAAAAGCAGCTTTATTACTCATGCTTGCGTTTTACGTTACTGCCTTAATTGTAACCCTCATCTCAGCTAAGATACCCCCTCCCATCTAGCCTTTTCTTTGATATTTTCCAGTGGCTTTGTTGCAGCCTTTACATTTTTCTTTGTTGCACATGCTCAGCTATCCTATGCTGAGGTTAACACCTGTGGTGCACACACACATTCAGGTGTTTGCACTTAGGCTGATTAGACCTCCTCTCAGGGCTGTGTGGGCGTGTACAGAACAGGCTTGATTGACATGTCCCTCATGTGTTACTCCCTTTGATTCTTTTAGGGTGCGTTTCATTTTGTGGCATCAAGAGTCTACGCCCCCGATCCCATCTGTGCCTGGAATAAGCCAGTGCCTACAAGGGGAAAACTGGTGCATCCCACTTTGAGTGCGTCAATCTCAACCCCCTGCATTAATTGCAATCCTTCCAATATGCCAACTCAGCTGGGTGCACCTCTGAAGGGGGTCACATAATTACATGTTGTCCAGAGGACCGGTGACAGGCTCCTCTTTCCACCAGAGGAAAAGCTTGCCTGCAGATAAAAAAACGGATGATAGTCGGGTTGGGTTCACGCTGTCAGCGGCAGAGAGAGTGAACCCAAAAGTGGGTACAGGGTAGGTATTTATGTAGGCTATTGGTGTTGGAGGATATTTTTAGAAACATCAAGCACTACATAACTATTAAGTTTCTCGTAGAGAGCCGGTGCTCCTCGTCCTGCTGTCAGTTGTTGGGAGAGACGACAGAGGAGGAAACCTACTTCCTGTGACGGTTCGGTAGTGTTTGGATCTGGTGGATGGGGGGGACGATGAACAAAGAGTCTGATGGTGGTCCTTTTTTTTTTTTTTTTTTAGCGGCAGACATTTTGACTTGTCATAGTAGGACCAGCACAGGTGAAATTGATAACATTAACGATGGCATATTATCAATACAAGACCATATCATTAATGTTATTGAATACACCTGTGCTTTTCCTATTACGACCTCTCATACCTCACATCTACATCATCTCATTCCTTACTGCTATCGCGGTCTTGCATGTCAACAATTCTGCTATATTTGCAGTAACACAGACATGTGTTGGCATCTTGGCAACATTGTTGCTGTCCAGGAAGCAGAACAACCAGACTTCACACAAAAACCTTGATTTGAGTAAACTTCCATCGAGGCAACACAGACCTAATGTAATGATCAAGATAACTGCATGTTTACAACTTAATAAACCCGGGATGCTGGAATCAGATCAATACTGGAAACAACAACAAAGAGAGAGACATATTGCCGACACGGTTGGTTGCAGGAACAACAAAACAATAATTACATCTCCCCCACCAGTGTGTAGACATATAATCAAGAACAATAGATTGTTTTTTTTCTGTAACATTCCTCCATCAAGGTAGAACACGATACGTCGTCAAGACCAGAGGTCTTAACCTTTGAGCCATTTTCTGTGCTCGTCAGCGGCCAGATCCCCATACACTGATGATGTGATGTTGCCAGATCCCCATACACTGATGATGTGATGTTGCCAGATCCCCATACACTGATGATGTGATGTTGCCAGATCCCCATACACTGATGATGTGATGTTGCCAGGTCCCCATACACTGATGATGTGATGTTGCCAGGTCCCCATATATTGATGATGTGATGTTTGCGTCCCTTCAATAATCTAGCTTAGAGCACATTCTCGACAACCCGTTCCGATGCAATGCCAGCATGGAGATGTGCAGCTGCACACGCAAGTTTTCGTGCAGTGACTCTCACATGTCATGGAGGGCCTGCTGCTTCTGCAAAGGGAAGGATTTATATTCTTCTGGTGCTCAGCCTTAATTTGTAAATCTCCCCCTCGCAGGCTTTGTGTACAACATTTCTTGCAATACACATCCCAACTGCTGAGGGTTTCTCATATTGTCAAGAAGAGCCACATGACAAGTTATTGTCACTCAGTCGACACATGTTGCTGTGTGACAATAATATCCTAACACTGACCGATACGTGTTGCTGGATTTTCATTTGGCATTTTTGCTGTTTTTGATCACTCCACATTACAGGCTGTCAATATATGTCAACAAGTGTGTGTATGTGTGTAAGCTTCTTATGGGGAAGAGTAAATCTGCCCCGACTCATCCAGACCTGCTGGGTTGGAGACCTCCCCCCCACCTCTCACACAATCCGTCATGTTAAAACCGCGGATATTGGGACAAAAATAGGACAGCGTCAAAACAGCTGCCAGGGAGAAAGATTACCGATGAACGTTATGTAACGCCTGATAAACGTTACCCACGGAGATAACGGCAGCTAGATCAAAGTAGTCACATAACACGCGTTATCGAGGCGCTGTAAACACTCGGACCGGAGCTACCGGTCCTACTGTCAGATAGCCCCGGCACCCACACAGTGCAAAAATAAAAAAGACCACTTGTTGATCATAACGTTAGTTTCGTTCCCGTCAACACCGACTCACGGTTATCTCCCGACAGTGTAAAGTCTCCGCTTGGGGCTCAAATGCCACTTTCGTGTTTTGCACGTGTGTCTAAACAAACGAGAAGACAGACAAATCAAGGCATTAAACGTAAGTTAGTTAGCTGCAAGTGTAAGTTAGCTGTTAGCTAGCTTCACGTTAGCTCGCCTGCTAACATTACCTCGCTCGTGCCGCCCGCTGAATTCCCGAGGCGCGGAGCCGCGTCGAAATATTCCCAAAACATTGCCGGTAAGCTTTCTATTGTGCCAAAGCTCAGGAAACAAGTTTCAAACTGAGTGTCAAGGAAATACCCTGACATAAAATACATTAAACTGCCTTTGGCTTGTACAGTCGATATATCCTTCAAACAGGAAATAATGTTGCGTTCAATGTCCCTCGTACACCTCATAATCGACAACTGTCGCGCCTCTAAGTGGCTCTGAGGGCGTTCACTCGAAGACAAAATAGGTTTTTTGTGTGTTGGTATCCGATAAGCTGTTGTTTTTTATTGTAGAATTTTGAAGCTTTTTTTATTTGACTTGCAATGCAAAAATGCACGTAAGTGATGCATTTTAGCATTATTATTATTATTATTGTTATTATTATTATTATTATTATCACAATATCTAAACAAAATAAATTAAAAAAACAGAAAATGGAGCATTTAAATCGACGTTCTCACGTGATATTAAATGTTATTTCATATAGGTCCACGTAACGTGCACTGTTTCACTCTATGAAGCGGCTTAGATGTTCTCTCAGCACCCCATGTAAGCGAAAAGTATCACCTGTTTGCTTGTTTGTGTATGTCAATCAAAATTCCGATGTTTCCGACTCTTCAAATGTGTCGTCGAACTCACGCTGAGATCACTTCCTGTCTTGTTTCTCTGGTTGTGATGTTTATTATTTAGTTGTTACTTTAAAATGCCACACAGTCACACATTTTCTACAGATAAAATTAGCCTACTGTTTGCTTCTCCAGAGCAGGCTTGTGGTTTGCAACATGTTGCTACAGTCTCTGTCGCCAACAATCAGTTTTTATTTTTTATAGTTTGATAAGAAATCAAAACAAATCTTTTAGCGCGCCTCCTTAATTAAAAAGAATTACGTAAAAGATTAAAACAAATAATTAATTAATTAATATTTCAATTTCAATATAAATCACAGCTACTTCAGGTTATATAATTTGATTTGGTCAATAAAGTAGGGACTAACTCATTTCAGTGCGTTTTAGCGTTTTAGAAGCAGATCCATTGTGGAAGAATCTGGTTGGCACCTGTTTATAATTACATCATGCCAAGAATGAGAGCAAAGAGGTGTGTGGGGGAAGCATTCTAACGTCTGAGCCTCATATTCCCATACTGCATTTCTTCCTTCCTCACTCTCTTTAGGATTTTTAGCCTATCCCAGCTTGTATTGGTCCAAAGGTAGGGTCACCAGTCTATCACACACACATAAGGCAAATTCCTTTTACTATATTTGATGCAAATCATTTAATAGAATTTAGTTGTAAACCAACTCTTTCACACTAAGAAGGCTGCAGACTGTCCACATGGGAGAGCTGTTTGGTTATTGTCAGAACAACTAACCTGGAAGAAAGTGAGGAATAGCTGCAGCAGTGATGAGCATATTAATGGCACTGCCTACAAGCAAAGTATATAATAGTTTCTGCAATTTTCAAACTTTGACCACCCACCCACTCACTGACAAATGACCAAACATATTCCTACACAAAATCAACTGTTCTAGGAGTCAAGGTTTATTTATTGTCATTCTACAACACTGTTTTGAGCAACACAATGCAAGCTGTTGCAAGCCTTTGTGTAATTGTTTTTTGATGGTGGAGTACGGAGGATGAGGTCAGAAGTGAACAGCAGAAGGGTGAACAGGCTGCGGCAGGGGGTGGCATTGTCTTTTTAGTATCCTGTGGACTCTGCGCAGGAGCCCCACCTCAACGATATATATCACTGATGCTCGGTAGTGTGTCTGTGTGTCTGTGGTTTATGTTTTGTTTTTTTAATCTTTATTTTACCAGTAAATGTTTCCCATTCTGATTCAGAATACATTTTTTTGAAGCAGTCCTGGCCAAGACAGCTGCATAATAAGAACAAACAACAGACTCAAAAACAAGAAATCACACAAAAGAAATAAATAGTTTTAGGAGTCAGTAGGGAACCTAAATAAAGTGGCAGTTTGTGTGATACGTCCTTATAAAGACAATGTACCAGTGTTCCGCTCTACAGTTGTATAATAGAGGACAAACCAACTCTCTCATACAAACTGCAATGATCGTAATTGTAATGCCGCACGATATAATGAATCTAACATTTTTGAAAAAAGCTGAACTTGCATGCGTGTATAAAATATCACCTTTTGTACGGCGGATGTTGTTTCCTTGCTGTCTTTGAGTGACTGGGTTTTTTAAACATACATTTTAATGCAAAACACTTTGAGTTTACTGTTAAATGAAACGTGCTATAAAAATCAAATCAAAATATGGTTCATACCAATGATCATTTGTTTTCCCCCCTCTTTTTCTTCCCAATTGGGAATCATGCAACATAATGAATCTCATTGTCGTGGTTAAGGCAATCTATGTCATGAGCAAAATAAAGTAACATCTTCTCAATTAGCACCTCCCATGGAAAGCATGTGTTCAGATGAACCACTAAGTGGCAGCATATCACAGCAGTGTCACACGACGATTAACAAGCCCTCAGCAAACAGTAGTCTAATTGTGCATATCTCATCTGGAGTGCACACAGAGTAAACTAATTGCTAAACTCAACCATTGTTTGGTACCAGAGATTAAACAAAAGACGGAATCCTATACTATGTTTCTTGACTTGCAAAATAAATTTTAAAAAGACCAAGATCAGTAGGACTGCACAACTGAGAAGCATTTAAAGCAGATTTAGCTTCTGCAGCAGCAGGAAAAGCTACAAAGATCTTTGGCTGTACTTAATGGCAGCCAATCAGAGCATAGCAGCATTCCTAGGATTCAGCCAGATACATTCAAACTATTCAGCCCTGAACACGAGGAAGTCAAAGACCAAAGGGCGATGATTTATACAGTGGTGGTGCTGGATTGACCTGCTGGCTGAGTGACTCGTCACAGCCGAGGGAAGAAAGATCTACTGTGTTCAGGGTTCCCCCTGTTCACACCTTCTGCAGGTTTACAGTGCGTTCATGTATGCTGCACATTTGTTGGAAGCCAGCACTTCACTTGCTGCAGACTTGAATATAAAGTGTACATTCTTGTGGGAATCTAAGGTGTGTAGCTTTCAGTCCCTTTCATTCTTAATGTGTAGCTCTACATTCCGGTTGTAAGGTCTTTGTGTCCTTCAGTCGTTTTCAGACCCTGTTTGACTATTCAGTGCTTGTGCAAATACATGTGGGTATCTGGAGTCCATAGCAACCCACAAACCAAGCCATTCAGAATTGACTCCCCTTCTTTTGTCACAAGTAGTTCTCATTAGAATATACTGCCCCCCCCCCCCCATCCCAATCTCCACATTTACGGACTCACGGACTTTGAGGCCCGCTGACTGTCCCACTGTCAAATCTCGCAGACAATTTGAGCTTGTTATGAACACTTTTCGTAAGTCCGCATTTATGCAGACTTTGTGTAAAGGGAATTACGCACAATTCATAGCAATGTGAGGTTAAACACGGGGGTTACCAGTGGAAGCACATGGGATTTATTCATCCAACATTTCATTTTGTTATTGCAGCTGTTCTGACAAAAACGAATAAATCGATTATTTGACAGAAAAGAATGTGCGAGTCATTCAAATCAGGGAGTACAAAGTATAAAATAAATACTCACAATTTTACATAACATGACATTGTCATGGTAACGTTACATGGTGCAGCAAAGTGCTGTCCCATTCGTATTTACACCATTTGAAGCCCTTTGCAGCCTCTCACACTCAACCGTTTAACGTTTGACCTCAGCTCAGTCCCCGAGGGTTCAGGGTTTAAGGCTTTAGGTGGGACTTTGGGATTGGGCCTATACCTTTGCAAAGGTGCAGCAACATTTTCTCGCCATTCAGAGCAGACTGGGCTTTTTCTGGAGCGTTTCAGACAGCGGGTGAATACAGGTTTATTTAAGACAGACAGTATGAGAAAAATAATGGGGTTTTTTTTTACGTCAAAGCATGTAAACTTGTTGTGGTAGAAACCCAAAAGTACGACCCTGAAAATGAGCATGATACATCCCCTTTAAAGCAACATGAATTCATTTAGTTTGGCCACCTGTGGCTCACATGTCCCCTCCCATTCATCCATCCTGCAGATGCAGAACATTAATGTGTAACGTGTTTCCGGTCACCGTACGCATGTCCAATATTCACTCTCCTTTTAGCTCTGTTTGGTCTCCACCTGCCTCTCTAGCTGCTAAATGCTCCACTATGATCACCAGTTAGTCGCTCACTCTGTCTGTCGGCCATGTGGTACGTGTGGGCAGGTAGAAGTTGTGAGCTGTAAAACACAATCCATGTGAAATGGTGAGGCTGAGGGGAACTGCAGGTAGGTTGTAATTATTACAAGCAGTTTCTTTTAAATTGCACATCGTTTAGGATCCATTATTAAAATAAGGAATTTTAATCAGTGCAGCTTTAAGCTTCCCTTGGGCTGCTTTTCGCATCCCTGTATTAATTCAGTTTAGTTTCCAACCACGCCAGAGAATAAAAGAGAGGGAGGGGCAAAACCATTTCATAAATTCCCCCAAATAAGTTTCTGATTAATTGATGAAGGATAGGCTCAAAACTAATCCAATCAAATAAAAAGTCAAGGTGGCTCTCTGTTCTTCAGTCCTTGTCATGCTCCTCTCGTAAAGTACAGTACAGTTCTCTGTCCGACAGTAACCTCTGGTCACAACTGTTGTCGGCTACTGTTATTACATTACAGCCTGTGGCCACGTTTCATTCCTAACAGGAAACCCCCTTCTTTCCCCTCCGCCCTCCTGACCCGGCCCACTTTCTCCTCAGACTCCTGCCTCAGCGACAGTTCAAAACAACATGGGACGAATCAGATGAACGGCCTTCTCATGTCTGCTCCAAGCCCCGGGATAGCCTCAGTGTGAGAGAGAGCGCAGCGGGAAAGGAGGCAGCGACGCAGATTTCTTTGCTTTGAAGCCAGCCCCAGTTTCCTTTCGGGTGTTAAACACAACTGGAAAGCACCAACAGCCAGAAACTCACAGCCTGAATACACGTGCAGATTGAGCTCTAACTTCCTCTGCGCCGTCTGTATTGAGCTGAGAGATATTGCAACCACACTGCAGCAGTCAGATCAGGATTGAAAGCTGCCTGCAGCATTTATTTTGTGTGTGTGTGTGTGTGTGTGTGTGTGTGTGTGTGTGTGAGTGTGATTCCTTGATGTGGTTATCCTGCAGGTAATTCAAATTGGCGTCATTTCAACGAGACGGTCACCGGATAAATTAGTAGAGAGGGCAGGCAAGTAACTCTGTCTGCCATGATGGCAAAAGCTAACCAGTATTTAGAGGTTCATTTCTGCTTTATTGTCATTTCTTCAACACAGTTTTGCACAACAAAAATGCAGGTTGTAGTCCCTTTATGCTACACAAGAAAAAAACGATACTTTTTTTTAATGGTGGAGTACGGAGGATGAGGTCAGGAAGTGCGTGAACTAAAAGTGAACTAAAACATTTCTGGTTTATTTCTGGATGAAATTAAGGGTAATTATGATACATTTAAACTACTCTAATTCTTGCCTGCAATATATTTTTAATTTTATATAAGTGTCATATACAGTTAAATAACAGAAAGCCTGTTAATGTGTCAGGATTTCTCAATTATTATATCTTATGCGTTTAACTGTATAATAGCAATCTATATATTTCTCACTGTAGGTTTTTGAAATACTAGACCTGCACTATTCAGCGTTCTTATATGAGTAAACATGTGTAAAGAGGACACTTGATTCTACAGCTCACCTCAGCTCTCGATGAGCCAGTCCTGAGCAGAATTGATCACCTGCGATGGGCACACAATGCATGCCGGTTAGATTTGTGTCCGACTTGCTCTGACGTCATCAACACGTGGTCAACGATAACCTCACGAGATCGAGGCGGCAGCAGTTTTTACAGCCAGGCGCTGCAGTTGCTCTCCACACACTGCATGACCCAATGCATGATGGGAAACGCCTGACTGTCGCTGATCAAAGAGCTGATTGGCTCTTAGATTTGACAACAAACACCACGTTTTGTAGAAATTCCTGTTTTTCTGTGTAATTGTAATATTTGACGATAGATTGTTGGCTATCAGTCTCATGTGCAGCAAAGGTTTAATCTAAAACATCTTGTGTGGTTGATAATAATAAAGATTATTTACATAATATATCAAAACGAGCAGCAAAGTGTTTCACAAACAGACATAACGCATGTTTCCACATAAATATATATTTACAAACACACCTGAATGAATCCGAACGAGGTCTGTAAACTACAAGAAGCCTACAGATCGGATCTAACAGGAAGTAACTGTTTCTGTGACTTCCTGTTTATTCTTTTTGAAGGCGGCTGAAAACTGTCCGCCTTGACCGCAGTTTATTTGCTGCTACCGCCTGCTCTCATCTACTTTCCAGGCGAGGGTCAGGTCATCTCGAACGAGCCTATTAAAACAGTGCGTTACTTGGCAGAAGCCCAGAGGCGTTAAAGGTAAACGAGGAGGACGGCACAGGGGGGACACCTTAGTCTCTCAGTGCAACCCCTCTCACATACACCTGTAGCCATTTGATCCATTGTTAATGTACGAATAATGACGTGTGCAACTTTAAGTAGTACTTGCACTTAATTACTTACCGCAAGTGTGAAGTTTAACTAGTGTTGACCATACTTTTACTGGTAGATGTCTAATATTGCACCACATCATTCCCCAAATAAAGTCATCATAGCACTATGTAAAATGGCAGTGAGAGTTGAATTTAAACACCTTTTCCACTTTCTCATTAACCCTGAAAAATGTACGCAACTCCCATTCTGCCCTCGTAATCGCAGTAACCGTTCTCTTCGGTGAGCATACCTCAAATGACAACAAAGCGAAGCACTTTCATTTTTTTGCTTTTTTTATTTTTGCAAATAGGAAAATAGCATATCTGGTATTCCAAAAACAAAAACAAACATAAAAATAAAACCCTGCCTGTGTTCAACCAGATACACAGGCGGGAGAGAGAGAGAAGCAGAGAAGAGAGAGATTGAATTGGATGATGATTAGGGAATACAGGTCTGGATGTAGGTCAGTAGAAGCAGCCCGGGGAGGCTCAGACACAAAGACAGCACCGGTTCAGACGGATCAACACGTCTGCCCGTCTGTCTGCTTTGAACAGGTTTCTACATCGCTAAGCGTGGTTGTTGTATTATTTAAAAAAAAGTGAAACCTAACGTATCCATATTGCTAAGAGACAGAGATATGAGGGTGGTGGCCGTGTGCTACATGCAGAAGTGCTCTACTTTTGGGTTCAATCAACAACAACTAAAAAGCACCAATGTTGCTCGAGCTAAGTTAAAAGTTGCCGGTGGCCTAAACGGTTTTGTAGAAGCACGTGTCTGCTGGAGACAACCTGGTTATGTGAACGCGTCGGCTACGCAGCCTCTTCGGGTGAAGCGCTGGTAGGTTAGCAATCAGGTTAAAATCATAATAGTGACTGACTAACCTTCCTTAGAACATTTCTTTTTTTTGGCATTTTACGGTTCCAAAACGTGATATGGAACTGCCATGAGAGCACAATGACTTGTTTCTCACCTTCCACTAACGCAAGTGCACTTGAGACCAGCGGACTCATCTTAATGGTTTGTGAATGGGTAGATGACCGTAATCAGTCTGACGTTCCACAGAATGATCACGCTACAATCAAAAAACCTCTCCGGCAACACGACTGAATAGCTTAATGCACTGATTGAAAAATCCTCACCGATAAAAAAAAACATCTCTATAAAAGCTAGAAGCTGTACGTGTTATCTTCGTCCTTTATGTCCAGTACACATTATAACATGATGACTATGCTAATTCACATGATTGAGTAGATGTTAGCTGGCTTCCCAGCTGTTTAAAACTATTAGCTTTTCTTGCTGCTGTATCCGACAGAGACACACGTTTTACAGTAACTGCTACTGTAAATTAGTAAGAGCAGTGTTTTCACATCACTTCTGCACCGTCGACCCAAAGTGTAGTGTATGGGCCGAGAACCTTTCTAGGCAACGTAAGTCGGCTGCACAATGATTCAGAGAGAATTTCAGACAACAAAGAGCTTATAAACGGTCACGCAGCCTGGGCGTTGTTTTCATGCTCTCGAGAGGGCCAGAACAGGGTTTTCTGGTTTGGCGGCACCCGGTTCAGGAATCACAGTTAAATAAGAGCAGTCATATGATAACAGTAGGATCAAGTGAGGTTGGTTTCGTGATACGGACAAAGGCATCAATAGAGATTAGTGCGTACTGGGGCTGTGAAAAAAGGCATACGGGTCAAAAAACGGTGGATTACGACTGGACGAATGCAACGAAGGCCTGGGTCAGGTGCATAATAACATCGGAGGTCCCCCCCCCCCCCAGCTTGGCCAAACTGTGAGGAGACCCACAATTCTAGTCCGACAGAAAACAACGCCTCGGCGTTTGCTCCGAAACATTGAGAGTCACACACCTTTCGTTCAGAGTGAACGAAAGGTGCTGCTTTGCTGCTTTAATCACAATTTCATACTTACAGCGATTGGCTGTCACGTGAACGCGTCCATACGATTACAACTCATTCAATAAATGTGATTTTTTTTTTGTTTTTTTTACTTTCATAACGTACAAAAAAACGCTGGGGAGCTCTCTCCGTGTGGACCCTGAAGTTTGACTTTAGGAAGAAGGGCAATCACAAAAGTAGAAAGGGGGGGTTATAGAATTACAGTCGCTCCTGTTGCTGGTTGCCACCCTACGCCTACAGCACCTGGTAGCTTGGTAACAGTAGTGCAAGCAGTGGTTGCAAGATGGGCCTCTGTAAGACTGTAAGGAAATCCACTTCCAGCTGACTTTTTCCTGAGGTGGCTGCTCAGCATGCCACGAGCTGCTGCTCAGAAAGGACCAGACAAAGACAAACAGCGGGGAGGAGAGAAACGTGTGTGGAGAAACGGCCGCCAGCCTTTCGCCATTGTTCTGAAAGTTCTGCTCGTGAAAGCACCAAAAGTCCTGAGGAAGACACCCCCCCCCCCTCTAGTCAAAGCCAGGACGGGTGTGGTGTGCAGGACGAACGTGGCTGAAGGCGTCTCACACAGTGGCTCTGATAATCCTGCTGGGCCTGGAGCTGCGGTGGACCTTCGTGTGTTTGGATAAGTGGTCGCTGCGGGCGAACTTCTTCTCGCACAGGGAGCACTCGTAGGGCTTGACGCCGGAGTGGGAGCGCCGGTGGCGGGACAGCTCGTCGGATCGGGAGAACCTGGCGACACAAGAGCGGGAGTGAGGAACGTGGCAACAAAGAGAGACATCCACATTAAGCCCACTGGCTAATTTATCTATCGACGATGAGAACGCCAGTGTCCATGTCACCTACGTGAGCTAATCTGGCTTTCAAGGGTATGGCTAGGAGTCCTAGACCCATACTGCTTTGGACCCCTGTTAAATAATACATAGTAGGCTTTTTGAGGACCCCTATGCTGAGGTAGAATATTCTTTTTTTGCTTCAGAAGGGTTCAGTGTATCTGCTTTAGCGTAGGCTACACTGGAAATTAAATATAGCCATTCCACAATTCTTTGCTGCAGGAATGTTTAAAGCGGCGCACCATTCGGGCGTCGATAACATCCCCCGTTTAATGGTTCACTACGGATAAATTGAAAACCACAAACAACATCCGGAGTGCAGTCGGATTCCGTTAGCAACATGTTTGTCTTTCCTTAAGTCCTTATGAACTCTCCCTCACTTCTTTCTGCTGACATTTTCCCTAAAAGGTCGAGGAAAGTAGTTAGGAAAGTTTTTTACTATCAGACCGCAGCACTAAAATCATCACTTTTCACCCCAGTAGTGATAATTGTACTGGTTTCACCAACGCTATATTTTGTGCGTGATGTAATGCCCTCAAATGTTCCCTGAATGGAATGAAAAAAGTGAATTGAATGTACAATTCTAAAAGTTAAGTTTGCAATGTTTTTTTAAATCACAATTAGTGACATTTATCGGAAAGATAACTGAGAAATTATAAAGAAGATACTCGTTATAGCGTTAGCATAGGGCTAGGAGCCAATGATAGGAAACATTTGGCTTCTATGTTTTTGACTACTTAGTGGGAATGGAAGTGTTCAGACCAACGTTAGGTGAAAAAGAATAATCAATGGACTTTCTGGATTGTGATTCATGATCTCACCACTAGCTGAAAGACCCGCCTCCAATGCGGCCTCTAGCATCAACCAGTGGGGAAATCCCCTGAGAACATGGCGTAGTCCTTTAATCTTAAACTTAGTATTTGCTGTTAAACCTGGTACGGTACACATACCTCCAGCCGCACTCGGGCCAGCTACACGTGTAGGGTTTCTCGCCCGTGTGCCGGCGGAAGTGAGCTTTCAGGTGGCTGCTCTTGGTGTACATCTTCCCGCAGCCTGGGTGGGAGCACTTGTGGACCCTCTCCGTAGGCGCTAGTCTGGTCACCCGGGGGGCCACGGCCTTCAACAGGCCGTTGCCCTGGCCCCCGATCCCAGTCACGCCCGTGATCTCTAGAGTCCTCATAGTGATGGGTAGCGGGGCGATCTTCACGTACTTCTGGTCAGCCAACTTGCCATCTCCGCTGTGTATTGACAACAAGGCGGCGTGGGCGGAGGGCACCTGCGGGGCCAGCAGGGTGAGGTTTTGTCCGGTTGCACCCTGGAGCCCCATGATCAGATGAGTGAGCCAAATGCCACTTTGGGCCCCGGGCGGGGAACCCACCGGGGTCGGCGGCTGGGCCACAGGTAGGTGCTGGAGCTGGAGGACCAGCGGACCGCCCAGGAGCATTGGCGGGGTTAAGGTGGAAGACGAGGAGTTAGCGCGGGCAAAGGGGGAAAGGTCAGCGGGGCTGGGGCTCTTTTGTTCGTTCTGAGGGGGGTTTGAAGTGCAATGAGAGGCTAGACTAGTCCCTGGGTCACTACAAGTGTCTGAGGAAGCAGCTGGGGGCGCAGTGGAGGACAGGGAGCCACTGCATGGTAGAGGGGAGGCCTCCTCTTTTGGGACCAGTAGCCCCTCTTTGACCAGTTCCATCTTTTCCCTCAAGAACTCCTCTATGTCCTCCAGGGTTGGGGAGAACGGGGAAGTGGGTTGGAAAGGGAAGTGCGGAAGCTTCGGCTCCTGGCTCGGCGGCTCCTCTTCTCCCTCCGCCCTTAGGAAAATATGCAGACTCGCCCCATCGTCGTCGTCTTCGTCCTCCTCCTCGTCTTCCTCCTCCTCTCCGGGGCCGAAGCCGCGCAAAGCCCCCAGGTCCACGGCCTCGGGGCTGTCGCAGGAGGCCGAGCTGCCCCCCTCGCTGCGGGCTCCGTCTCCCAGGCCGAGGGAGAACAGGCTGCTGCTACTGCTGCTGCTGTCCCTGAACAGGTCATTCTCCAAGCTCAGCGGTCTGCTGCTGAGAGACACCATTGATCCGGGCCGAATGCGGAGGAGAGGATGTTGAGGAAACACTATCCAGAGGTAGGAGATCACAAAGAACCTGCAAGGCAACGTTGAGATTGGATTTTATTACCCAGCAGAAAGTGAGAAAGCATGACAAGCTTTACCTCAAGGACTTTAAACGTTACAGGCAGTAAATAAGAAGTAACTTATTCTACAGGCAAGTGCTTCTCTAAATTCTGTTTTCTATTTTGCTTACTTGACGGGCCAAAAACTATTTTCCACTTTGATACAAAATGATATTGTTTTTTTAAAACCATAACTAAGGGGTTGGGTGATATGGTTGAAATCACAACACTGATAAGAATATTTGGCGACACAATACAACAATAATACATTTTAATGTAGCAAATGTTGGCAATCGCATACAAAGTAGTCATGTACAATGTATCGTCATCTCACAATGTAACACAACTTTGTACTATTTGTGTTTAGGTTTGTGGTAATTTGATAAAATAAAACTTTATCTGGAAATAAAAATGTGGGTTGAAAATGTTTTTGAGTTGGTTATCGATCATTTATGCCTAGAGTTAGTCGTGTACTTTAGTGGTGCAGATATCTTTAACAAATGTGCAACGAATCGGATAATCAAAACCAATGGACATATAGAGAACCGGGGGCTTTTGTGGCCCTGAGAGGCTGGGGGGCCCCAGGATAGTTGCCCATTTTGCCAGTTGGTAATCCAGCCTTGAACCAGCTCTACCTAGAGTTAGAGCTGGACCACTTGAGTTTGACATTCGATATCACAGTTTTATTTTCAAACATAGGGGCCCCCTTGAACCTTTTGCCCCCGAGCCTTCTATAATTAACTTTATTCAAAAACGGACATTTTTATCTGTAGGCCACAATAATCTCTAAGCACTGGTCCGGTACCGTTTAGTGCCAGTGGTTATCTCACTAAATATACATATGTAGCCTATATAAAGTGAGGCAGTGGTAAAAAAAATAAAAATAAACAGTTACTGAAATTAAACACTAATTAAAGACGTATTGGCAAATCATTTGGTGATGTAAATTCCTAAGCATATTTGAAGTGAATGTGTAGCTTGCTGGGCGACCCCTGGCAGCGTGACCTCACGCTGGAAAACAAATAGATTTGACCCCGCTGAGGAACTCCTATGGAACTATGTAGAGCGGATGTTTGTTGCCGCTGTCAGACCGTCGGGCACATGTTGCAGCGGGGCCTGGCACTTCACGAGGTGCGCGAGCATGGCGCAGGGTAAACACGGCCCGCGCTGACGCGCCCCACAAGCCGTGTTTGCTTAGAGCCGATCGGGCTCGAAAGCGGAACAAAATAAAAAATAAACGGCCAGAAGAAGGAGCGGTCGGCAACCCGCCTTGAATACAACTGCGCCCGCAGGAATACACGAGTCTCAAGTTCGGCTCGGTCAAAAGAAATGTTCTATTTATACTCCTCCGTCACTCCGGACGAGCCGAGCAGTTGTACCCCGGACATTAGGCTCGACCTACCGTGTGTAGTTCGGAAGAGGCTCGGTCGGAGGAAAAAGCAGCGCCGTCGACAGGCTCTTTATGTATGCATATAGTTGCTGTTTTCTTTTTTTTCCTCCCTCCGTCGTGTTATTGTCGTAGCACGCTCACATCCCGTCCTTGCCACGGGTCCATGTTGGCATTCCTCTTTTTCCCAGCGTCACATGACGGCATTGCTGCACAACTCGGAGGCACGGGTCCCGCTCCGCGACTCCCATTGGCCGCGCGCGGCGGAGGCTCGCCCTAAAAGGGGCGCTCCGATTGGTTGCCGCTCGATAAATTCTGGCTGCCATGTGTTGATGGAGGAGATCGCGTTACAACGACTGAACACGGTACAGTGTGGCCCTTTTCGGTGGCGTTCGCGGTCCAGAGGGGGTGGTGGACAAAATAATGTAAACCCCATGTAATGCAACAGTTTACCATTTTGTCTTTCTATCAGGACAGCTTCAGGGCTCTTTGTCCTGCATCCTGCAAAGCTGCAGTTGTTGTTCCTGAGAAGAAAGGGGGAGGACATCTGACAAATGCGGAAGAAACTACACTTGAACATAATACACTACATGATCATCTGAGGAGGCATTTTTCAACTTCCATTATACAGTTGCACTCTGGGTAGTTATGCTCATAATTACTCAGAATGATTGATTCCCAAGTCAGGGCTGAGAGCTTATGCTCCTACAAACATAAATAAGCTATAAAAACTGCAAAGAGGACTCACCAGACCTCTGTTATGTTCTGTGTGCGCGTGCGCGCGCGCACGCATGTGTGTGTGCGTTGGCCATTATACTCCACACTTCAAGGGCGCCCTTTTGACTTTTTTCTATCTTGACAGTAATTCAGGAAGTGTCCATGGATATAAAAAAGTTTTGAAAAATATCAAAATTCAAGTGTGCAAGAGAGGGTGTGGTGCACGATCCGCCCCCCCCCCCCCGTGTGTTTTTCATGCTTACTTTTCCATTTTTCTCTCTTCGTCAAGTTAATAAACTACTACAAAATGTTTTGCATAGTCCAATGTTAGCCTAACAGGCTGTGTCTTTGCAAAGTGCTTGGATTTCTGTTTCCAGGAACTCCAACACATGATAACAAGGCGCCCTGTTCCTGTTGCGAGTCACTCCCCTTAGAAGATACAACCAGTCCAACCCGTCCGGTAAGATATGACAGCGGTGGATCATGCATCGCTGTTTGATACAGAGCTCGTTGCCTTGATCCTTGCCATTGATCATCAATGCGGTTGCGTGGCTGGGTTAAGCTGCTGTAAGGAGCCCTGAGGCAAAAGTCCAGGGAGACCGGTCCATTGAAGTCGATGCTGCGGCTATTGGTCAGTTTGAATACATTTGTATTCATTTTAAAGGCATGTTTGCAGAGGGCCTGTGTTGTTTCATAAAATGCAATATAGGTTGCAATTCAGGTTGGGACCAATGACGTGTGGATAAAAAGCTTGTGATTGTGTATCGCCTGGAACAAGTAATGTAATCATCTTCTCCGGGCTTCTGCCAATGACATTTCTTCTAGAAACAGAGATTATTATTGTTAAAGATAAATGTTCTGTGAGTACAAAGAGTACAACTTGAGTTTTCTATTGCTGGAGCACAGAGCGGATGTAGGAAACAATGAAGATAATTAAGATGTAGGTGAACAAAAATGTTTTAATGTATCTTCAAAAGAATCAAAAGTACTAAAAATGAATTAGGACTGCATGACTGGCCTACGCAAACAGTATCCTCACTAGTCTCGTTCTTTTGGGAGAACCTCTATTATTCATACAAGCACGATGAACTTTCTAAAGTGCAAAGGTGCTCTAAGAGACATCCTCTGTGCCGGTCCGTTATACAAAGGGGCCCTCTGGTGGTTCAGCAGAGTCGCACAACAATAACTCCAGACGGTACATCTTAACAGGACATTCCAATAAAGTCAAAAATCAATCACACAAAATGTTACAGTCATCCTAAACTACATTCACTTATATTTCATAACCATTATTATTCCTTTTAACTTGGCTGCCGTTCAATTCTGTAATAAAATATGGGGAAGAAACTGCAAGCTCGTGTCTGAATCCAGTGGAATAAAATAATTTATTGAAAACCTCAAACTAATCTACACATTTTCTAAAAATCTATGTCAAGGTTTAAAAACAAAAATCCATGAATTCACTTTTTTTATTTCCACTAAATATATACAAGAAGTCCTGGTAAAGCAAACAAAAAAGTGATGATTATTGTAATGTATTGATATACATGTGTCACTATGAGTACTCGTGACAGACGTATGCCTCATGGCACAGCGTGCGCAGCCCGTTTAAACTCCAGAGATGTCAACTGTTGGATACGTTAAAAATAAACAAAGAAATGAATGAAATAAAATAATAAAAGATCAAAATAATAAAAATTTTTTTAAAAAAAAGAAATAAATTTGATGCTCTAAGTGGCCAATTCACGGCGGGGTGAAGAAGTCAGGTGAGGTAATACTAATAGTAAGGACTATCACCCAGGTGATAGATGTTCGTGTCCAGTGTAAAACCAAACGTCAACATTGACTTGTTTTAACTCACGTTAAAATCAACAGGACTATGTTTGTTAAATGATATTACTATATTATATCACTATAAAACAAGAGTACTTATTTCAACCCAAACCACACATTTGTCCAACATCTAAACAAGTAGTTTGGTTGTCTTAAACCTAACCAAGTAGTTTCCTGTGAACACAGAAGTTTCTTTTGAAAAGACAGCGTATGCACGTAACGAGGATGTCTTAGTCATTGACCTTGATCCATATGAGTTACAGAATAACCAGTAGAGCTCCAAACAAGTTGGCTTTTCTTCAAAGGTTCTATCGGTTAATAAGTGTCATTCAGTTCTTCCATGCTGGCTCTAATTGATCCTCCATAGAAGCCAAAGAGAGCCTCCGGTGAGAGGACTGTCAGCATAATGCGCCGCAGAAGGAGTGTCAAGACTCCAGTGTGGTTTCTTAGCAACAGGACACAGCAGGATATTGCTCCCATACAAGAATATATGAAAAAAACATTCACTTCATACATGAACATAGCTTGATTTTTACCCACAATGCATAGTTTGGACTGCGACGAAAGCGGCGCGTTCATCTGCATCTCATTACTGTGCCTTAAGAACACAACCCATCCCTGAGAAGAAGAACGAGGCAGTAACTGTAGTACAGCACCAGAGGTTATGTGCTACTCTATATTTATACTTCCTCTGATGGTGTTGCTGATGGAGATTGGTGAGTGCTTGAGGTCGGCGTGGCTGTAGACGACCCTGGTGGAGCAAACAAAACACCAGCAGCATGAAGCAGCAGCAGCAGCATGAAGCAGCAGCAGCAGCATGAAGCAGCAGCATGAAGCAGCATGAAGCAGCAGCATGAAGCAGCATGAAGCAGCAGCAGCATGAAGCAGCATGAAGCAGCAGCAGCATGAAGCAGCAGCAGCATGAAGCAGCAGCAGCAGCAGTATGAAGCAGCAGCAGCAGCAGCATGAAGCAGCAGCAGCAGCATGATGCAGCAGCAGCAGCAGCATGAAGCAGCAGCAGCAGCAGCATGAAGCAGCAGCAGCATGAAGAAGCAGCAGCATGAAGCAGCAGCAGGCTGAGGCCATGTAAGCCTTCACACTCTTAAGGCAGTTGCCGAGGCAAATTGCCAGCAACACCTGCAGGAAATACAGAATGACATTTTAAAATGGATGTGTTTAAAGGCCTAGTTGATCGTCTCTTTTGCAATACAATGTTGAAGACTTTCATTCAGTTATAGAGAATTGTCTGAAATGATCACAATTGAAACTAGAGACCGTCTTGCACCAAATCACACCGGGGGAATAAAGTGGCCCCGGTGTATAAACATCCAGATAAACATCTGGCAGAGTTCCCGCTACAGTAAGGGTCTCCAGGACCACATTTTGCCACGATGACACACACACACACACACACACACACACACAGACTCACAAGGTGCAAACAATACCAGCATCACTCTCGCAGGCCTGCTAAATATACTCACCTGCTAATCAGATTGAATTTAAATTTTAGTTTTATTCATTCATTGGAACTTTGAAGGGGTGGCGCAAGTGTTTTTTCTTGGTTTTGCCCGAATCAATTTGTAGCATACAGTATGTGTAACGTATTTACACTTAACCCCAAATATGCTCCCGTAGCTGTGCCTACGGTGAGTGTGTGTGTGAATGTTGGGTAGATCCTGATAGGCAGGTGGCACCTTGCATGGTAGCCCTGTCATCAGTGTGTGAATGGGTGAATGACGACAAGTAGTGTGAAAGCGCTTTGAGTGGTCGGAAAGACTAGAAAAGTCTATACAAGTATATTCCATTTACCATTTACTATATGACAACTCCCAGAACGGACAACGCCGTAGCAGCGACCTGTCAATCACAGTAAGCCCGCCCTAAAGCATACTCTGCTTTATGGTCTATTTGACTCTAAATAAAACACTTAATGAACATCATGCTGTATTGAAGACTTGAAACTAGAGATTGTGTCGGTTGATACTAAAACCATTTAGCATTGCGCTCCTATAACATTGTTAAAAACAAAAGGATGAAAATTGATACAGAACCAGAGGTATCTTTTTTTATAACCTTGATGAAACCTGGTGCAGACATTACCCACAATGCAACTTGACCATTGACAAGTTTGGTCTGCGATTCTGGGTGTGTTACGCTAATGGTGGCTAACGTAGCCTGGAGCTTTAGGCAAAGATGAGCGGACTGCGGAGGTCTAGTAAGCTTCTTTCTAACCCCACACCTCCAGATGTTTCTCTTTTTCAAACCTGTAGTCTTCAGCCCCAGCGGATGCTGACTCAATGACATCACTTGGTGAATTTTGTCCCCAAGCTCCCTCTGGAGACACTAATGGCTTCATACACTTCATAGGATACTTCTTTCACATACGTGTACTACTGCACTCCGCACACTTTGATGTGTAAAATCAGAGCTTAGCTTGTCTTTTTACACATATCTGTGCTTTTCCGTGTGTCTCTTTATCTTATCGTTTCCTATATTTATGTGATTTCGTCTCCTGCTGACACACTCTGATGAGGGCGTCAGCAGATTTGTCATTCCATTGATTGTAAAATAAAAATCACCACAATGACCATATTATGGCCATAAAAACATTCCTATTATCAGTCATTGAGTATGTCAGCAGTCTGCTTTGCTGCACACAGCGCCACAGGGTGGCAGACACGGGACATTGCAGATCACTATAAAAACCAAAGCCACATGACAGAGCTCAATGTCACAAAATAAGTAGTTAAATCCGTAGAAAAAGTCGGTCGCCTTTATTAGAAGCTGGGAAACCAAAACATTATGAACATTGTCGTTGTTAATACTCGTTTTTTTTCTTTTTTCGTAAGACCACAATATTGCAATTACCATCATCATCGCGTCACACTTTTCCTCACAACATGCAAAAGATTTTTAGTTCAGCGTTCCCTTTCTACACTACTGACAGAAGCTCCTGCTCTGGGTCTGCTGTAGGGATCACACCGTGGCTTACATTAACATTGCCAGTACAACTGAAGGTAGAAAAAGAACCCCGAAAACAAACACCAAACCTAATGCAACAGAGGAAATCTCAGAATGGATGAAAAGAGGAGAAATTCACAGCCTTATGCCATGTGTCTCCTGCGGGATGATGAACTACAGGCCATCGGAGCTCTCTGAGCTTTAGATTGGTAGAAACAGCTCGTTTTTTCCTTATTTATATCCAACTGTCTTAAAATGAAATTACAGATTTGGTGCCAATTCAGGACCTGGACGTAGAAAAACACCCCAAGGACAGTTGTAAAAGAATTCAATGTGCTTCTGAACCACGGACGAGGCTCACGTGTGTCCTGTAGACACCCAGGACTGTTCGTATTGCAGCCATGGGACCAATCAGAATGTCTCCTGACTGACGCCTAATAATACATTTATTATGTTCCCACGGTCACAATAGAAGCTTTTTTTTTTTTGACATCAAAACAGTATTTATTGAAAAGAAGGGCAATCTCACAAGTTGTGCACCTGATCACCGAGTCACTAGTTCTGAGATCGTGTATGGCTTTGGATGGTCTGTTGATCATAGACTTTGCTGACTTGTTGCTGAGCCCAATTTGGCGCTTGGAGCAAAAAAGCTAAAACACGAGGACGGATTACATTCTCAGGCCTCCAACAACGACATCAGAGCCACGACCGAAAACTCAACTCAATGAAGGCATTAATGGACAAACAAATGCCGGATACATACTGAGCTGCCCACTTTATTTCAATCTTCTCCGAGTCTCAGTACTGGTCATTTGAAAAATGGATCCGCTTGTGAAACACAAATGCTCTGAGAAAAAAGAATACCAACAGGAACCATTCAGCTGGTGGGACTGGGGAGGGGGTGGGGTGGGTGGTCCAACCATCGGGGTCAACAGATTGGATAGGGTCAACATTTTTTCTTTAAAATCAAGATACATTTTATTTCTTTTCTTAAAAAACAAACATTACAAAAAAAATCTGAATAGAGAATTAAAACAATGACATTCATTTTTCTTTTGAACTCTCAAAAAAAAAAAGAAAACAAAGAAACATCTCTTCTTGCATTTCATAAAAATAAAAACAAACAAAATAAATGAAGGGTGCCTGGCACAAGGGTTTGAATGCCGAGAAGATGCTGTAGCCATGCAGGGAGGTGGGGGGGGGGGGGGGGGGGGGGG